GGAGCTGAGGCCTGGTGATGTGTGGTTGGAGTTGTTACGAAGGGGTCCTGAGAGGCCCCAGTGCACAGCTGTGAAGGGGAAGCCTAAGTTGTGGTGAAGATTTAGGGATGTTGGAGATGACGAGACTATGGACCATCTCCCATGGGGCGGAGCTGTGCTAAGAGAGGAGCTGTGTGTACCTCAGTGGCAGGGCTGGAGGGTTGGGTCTGAGGGTTGGCCCCAGACATTTGTAGCCTAAAACATTGCAACATGAGCCCCAGGTGCCAGGCACGGAACTTCAGGGTTTGGTGTTTGCTTGCTGGGTTGTAGTTTGGGTTTGGTTTGGTTGTTCTTGGCTTTGCCCTGATGTCCACTTTGATCTTGGTAGATTACATGCAGGATTCCACGATGAACATATGTAAGTGTGAGGGCACTTTGGACTTTTCAGGTGTCAGGACTGTTAATGATTATAGGGACTTTAAAGTTGTCTGGATGTATTTTGTGTTATTATACAGTCATAACCCATAGGGCAAAAGGTAGAAGGTTACGGCTTAAAATCAATATGTTTGCTGTCAAGTTGACAAAGGGTGGGGTTGTGATGGTTAATGGTCGTCATTAATCTGACAGAATCTAGAATCACCTGGGACATGGACTGAAGAGATAACTGCCACACGCCACTTTGTGTTGTTTTGATTTTTGAGCCATATGTATGTGTTGTCTATACAAAAGGAACAAACATATTAACAACCCAGCCAGGCATGGTGGCTCACACCTTTAATCCCAGCACTCAGGAGAAAGAGGAAGGCAGATCTCTGAGTTCTAGGTCAGCCTGGTTCACAGAACAAGCAAAACCAAAAGAAAATAGAAAGGATCAATGGCTCCTGAAGAGTGCCACCTGAGGCCTTCAGGCCTCGACACATGTGTGAAAATGCATGTACCCCCAAATACATGCACACACACACACACACACACACACACACACACACACGGCCATCTTAATAAGAAACCATAAACCTAAACACAAGAGAAGAGCACCTCAACACCATCACTGGTCCAAGCCCTCCCCGAAACCAGAGTCACCTTTTCTTTGTTCAAAGGCAAAGGATGGGACCCATCAGGGAAGCTTGGGCTTTTCCACCCTCCCTCTACAAGGTGGTCCCACATACCTCCAGCTCATTCCACCATAGAGGAAGGAGATCCAGAGCCAGCCAGCTAGCAGGAACAGCAGCATAAGAGGGAAGGCAAAGATGAACCAGGAGCCGAAATTCACCACATCGCACTGTGGAAAGAAACTGGAGAACAAAGGAAAATGAAGGCAGCCATCAGACAGAACCCTCGGGGTAGACGGGAGGCCTCCAGGGGGTCAGGGCAGAGGAAAGGGTCCTGGGAGTACAGGAAGAGAAGATTCCTTCCCCTCCACAGAAGGTACCTTTTCTTCTGTGGGGGCTTGGGTTCTGACTCAGTGGCACCAGTGTCCTGTGTGCCAGACAGTGAAGTGGGCAGGCTGCATCCTGACAAACTCAAGGTCCATAGGTCACCATTCACGAGGCAGCACACCCAGCCCCAATCTGAGCTTCACTTGTTTTTATGTGGTGTTTAAGTGTTGGCATCTCTTTCATATGTTTCTTGTGAATTTGACGGCAAACACACCATATGTTGGGCAGGACCAGGTGGCATATGTCTTTAATCCTAACATTAGGGAGGCAGAGGCAGGAGGATATCTGTGAGTTCAAGACCAGCCTGGTCTAAATCGTAAACTCTTGGCTGCCAGAGCTACATGGTGAGACCCTATCACAAACAAAAATGAAAACAAGCAAACAAAAATATGGTATTAGATTGGAAAGGAAATATGTTATAAAATACATTGGATGAAAGAATATGGACACATAACTACCAGCAGCCAGTTATAAATAAATAAACAAGACAGAGCAAAACACGAATAGTTACTGTCTGACAAATAAACAAAACCCAAGAAACTGAAGTGTGAGACCCTGAGAGGATTTCATCCTTGGTTTTCTTTATCCGATTTTTTATAATAAAAAATGTATGCCTTGTAATCAGGCAGATGAAAAAGCGTAATAGTTAAAAATGTATTAATATACTAGCAAATATGGGGCAAGTTGTATAAATTCCTAATATCAAAATAATACTGAAAGGAATGTAATAAAAATGTCCATAGTTGATTAAGTATACTACCCTAGATAGGATCATTTCTAGCCTTTAGAATATATATTTTCGGTAACATTTTATGATGATAAAAATCACTATAACAGTGTACAAACAGTATGACAAAAAATATTACATAGAAACATATGGTATGGACATACTCATAGAAAATACTAGAAGGAAGCCTGATGTCAGTGGGATTGAAGGTATTCCAAATTTTAAATTTTTCTGTATTTTCTTGAGTTTATAGCATGTGTGTTTCATCTTGTCACCAGAATAAACGAGGAAAATGTGTAAAGAGCAGCTAGCTCACCATAGCGATTCCAGCCTCCGGGGTTCATGTGGAGGCTCTGTGAGCCAGAGGGACTCCCCTGTCTCTGCCTTCCAGTGCCGGGACGACAGGTGTCCACATCTGTACTTTTACCTGGTGCTGATGATCTAACTGGGTCCTATTCTGCACCAATCTCAGGGACCTATTATGAAAACCTCTATGTCCTTCCTCCTTCCTGAAGATCGGCGTATTTTACTAAGGACAGCGTGAGCGGTGGCTCAACATGATGACACCCCAAGCTTCCTACTGCTTTCTTTGTCAGGCTGCAGCCCAGACCTGCTCCTGTGTCACAGCAGAAAGCCTTAGAAATCATCCACCCCCTTCTTGGCTTGTTTTTGTTGTCGTTTGGTTTGGTTTGGTTTGGTTTTTTGAGATAGGGTTTCTCTGTGTAGCAGCCTTGGCTGTCCTGGAACTCGATCTGTAGATCAGGCTGGCCTGGAACTCACAGAGATCCGCCTGCCTCTGCATCCCAAGTGCTGGGATTAAAGGCGTGCGCCATTACCACTCAGCTTTCTTATTCCTCGATGCCAAACACAGAACCTGACTGCAACCCAGAGCCTGTGGCTTCCTGTCTGTCTCTAAGAAGGGGCCCCATAGACCCACCCCCAATACCAATCACCCATAGGGAAAGCAAGAACCGGAAGGCTAAGCCCAGATCACCCCAGACCTGAAGCAGGACCATCTTAGCTTCAGGCTGTTTGGTTGCTGACAGAAAGCAGGAGGCACAGCCAGGCCTAGTGCCAATCAGGGAGATAGAAGGATGCCTAGAGTTTGTGCAAAAGCCAGTGCTTGGAATCCTGGGATCTGCAGATCACAAAGAATCTTGAAATAAGATTTGCAAAGCAGAGCCTGGACTATCAGAGTGAAGCCAAGCACAGGGGACCCCTGCTCTCCTGTTCTCAGGTCTGGGATCAGCCACCAGTGCCTAGAGACCCCTGTCTACTGGCAGCAGGACTCCCCTGCAGGAGCCAGCCCAGAGCTGGAAGCCTCCTCCAGGCTCATCCTTGCCTTGGGCCAACCCCTCCAGCTAGGAGCTGAGTTTTACATCCTGTCTCTCAGGATCTCACCGTCTTACTTCTTGGGAAGCTGAATGCTGGGGTTCCCATGCTATGCTTGTGACCCACTCCCCTCCCCCATTCTCTTCAAAAATCATTTGCTTGTTTGTTTTTGAGATGATGTCTTGCTAGTGTCAGACTCATGAGTTACAGTGATCTTCCGGCCTCAGCCTGTGTGTGTGTGTGTGTGTGGGAGGCATCCCCACCAGCTCTCCTTGGTCTTATAGCTAGCTCCCTGATACTCCCAAGAGCTTCTGCTCTTGCTGAAATACTCTTTCAGCCTTCATAGCTCACATTCTCCCTCTAGGGCTCTTTTCAGATGGCATCTCAGAAAACAGATGGCCCTGACTGACCTGTCACCATGGGGCACTGGTTTTGTCACTCCTGTACCCCCTGCCACATTTTATTTTTATGTCATGTATAGCATATAATCATTTGATTTTTTTGTTTTGTTTTGTGTTTTTGAGACAGGGTCTCAAGCAGCCCAGGCTGACCTCAGACTCCATAAGGATGACCTTCAACCTTTGACCCTCCCAGAATATTAGAAGAGAAGACAAGCCTTGCCACCTAATATTCATTTGCTTTTTGCCCATTGTCTGTCTTTTTCCCAGAATGGAGGATCCCCAAAAGTGAGATTTGATGATACTGGGTATTTTTGTTTTGTTGTTTTTGTTTTTTGTTTTGTGAGACAGGGTTTCTCTGTGTAGCTTTGGCGCCTATCCTGGCACTCGCTCTGGAGACCAGGCTGGCCTCGAACTCACAGATATCTGCCTGCCTCTGCCTCCGAGTGCTGGGATTAAAGGCATGTGACACCAACGCCCGGCGACACTGAGTATTTCTGTGTCCCCAGAGCTAGGCCAAGAAAGTCATTTGATATCCATCCTTTGCTGGGAAAAAAGTGGAAGAAGAGAAGGACGAACCCTTGGCCTACAGCACGCGTGGAGGCCTGATGTCAATGCTGAGTGTCCCCCCAATCACTCTCCACCTCAATGAATCCCCAAGGATCTATCTATCTGTCTCTACCTCCCCAGAGCTTGATTACAGGCATGTACCACCATATCCCATGGTTCTGGGGATCCAAACTCAGGTCCTCATGCTTGCACAGCAAACACTTTTCCCAGTGAGCCATCTCCTCAGCCCCACACTTACCTCTTGAGCTGGCCAAGCAGGATGAGGTTGGGGGCTGTTCCTGTGAGGGTGGCGGTGCCCCCAATACTGGCTGAGTAGGGGATGGAGATGAGGAAGCCCTTCCAGATATTTCTGCGATATTCCTCCTCCTTGGAGTCACCAGGCAGCTCCAGTGGGGCCTCTGCCTCCTCAGGGTGGCCTCTGTGGGAAAGGATCCAGAGAGAGGCAGTTCAGGGCAGTCAAAAGCCCTGGCCCCAGAGGGAGCCAGCCACCCTATGCTCCGCTTGCTGCATCAGGGCTCTCTCTAGAGTCAAAACTGCCATGGACCCTGAAAGCCTTCAGCTCAGATACTCTGTTCACAGAATTTACCCCAAGGAAACAATGAGATAAACGTCACAGTTGGCAGCAGGATGCACCACAGCACTAAATATCATTTTACCCAAAAGCAACCTCAGTGTCCATCCAAGGGGGATCAGCTGCAAGCTGAGCTGAGTCTCTTTCTGGATGGGATGCCTATACAGCTGTTAAAATGTGTCATTTTGGGGCCAGTGAGATGATGGCTCAGCAGGCAGAGGCCCCAGGAGCTTACATGGTGGAAGGAGAGAAAAGACTCCTACAAGGCGTTCTCTGGCCTCATGCATACATGCACACAGACTCAGACAAAATTCAGATTTAAGAATCTAATTAAATGGGTGACTTGAGAGGCGTCTGTTGAGTTAGGTGTCTGCATCAGGAACCACACGAGGGGCTGCAGCTTTTTGCTGTTACGAATACTCCTGTGAAGCCATGTCTCGTGGATGCACCAGTGTTCTGGTCTCCAGTGGGATACACAAGTCTTCTTCCACTCCTTTCCCCAGGAATGGAATGGCAGTGTTCTCCCACTTTTACTGCTTCTCTGAATTTTCTGTATTGTTTTCCTTGTTCAGTTTTCAGAAAGAATGAAACAAAGTTACCAATTGTCTCTTTGAGACACTACGAAGAAGCCAGAGGTAGCATGGCCTGCGATTCCAGTACTCTGGAGACTGAGGTTGGAAGATCCTGAGTTTGAGGCTACATAGTGAGAACCCTCTGTCTCAAAACCGGGGATTTGCATTTGGCTGGACAGGCTCACCAGTTAGCCTCAGGAGTTATCTTGTGTCTGCTCCCCAGTTCTGGGGTGATAGGTGTGCTCTGCCATGCCTGACTTTTAATCACTTGGGTTCTGGGGATTTGAACTCAGATCCTCAGGCTTGCATGAGAAGCGCTTTACAGACTAAGCTACCTCCCATCGCTTAAAGAGGCTGCTTTCTGTCTCTGGCTGCTATAGAGTGCTTAGATGTGGCTAGAGTTAGGAATTGCATGCACAGGACCTAAGCTGGGTATGCTGACCATCTTGACTAAAGCAATCAGTTCACTGCATACACATGTCTCAAAACACCTTGATGTTTGTCAGTTATTCCTCAACAAGTCAGGAAAAAGACAAAGGAATAAAGATTTTTAAAAAAGATATTGCATGGTCCAACAGTCTTGCACAAAGCCCTGGGTAAGGTCTCTAACACGAGAATGACAGTGAGGTAATCTCCCCTGTGTAACTAAGCAGTTTCCAAAACATATATTTGAAGTTTTATTTTCAAAAGTAAAATTGATTGATTACAAGAGGACCTGAGTTTGATCCCTTGGACCCACATGGCAGTAGGAGAGAACTGACTCCTGCAAGTTAAGTTGTTCTCTGACCTGCACACACACATGAACTGTGTCTGTGAACACACACACACACACACACACACACACACACACACACGAGAGAGAGAGAGAGAGAGAGAGAGAGAGAGAGAGAGACAGACAGAGACACAGAGAGACATAGAGACAGAGAGACAGAGAGAGAGGCAACCATGGAATGGGCAGAAGGCTAACTCCAAGGCTGGGGTGGGGGAGTTGTTGCTTTCCTCTTGAAAGGAGGGACCCAGGAGAATAGACCATGAATGTGCCCGTGTGTGCATGTGTGCCTATATCTGCACGTATGTCTGTGGAAGCCAGAAGTCAACTTTGAGCATCATCTTCAGGTGTCATCCACCATTTTTGAGCGGCATCTCTTGTTGGCCTGAGCTCACCAAGGAGTCTAGGCTAACTGAAATCTAGTCTAGGAATCTCCCTGTGGCCACCATGCTCGGCATTTCCTTCCTTCCTTCCTTCCTTCCTTCCTTCCTTCCTTCCTTCCTTCCTTCCTCCCTCCCTCCTTCCCTCCCTCCCTCCTTCCTTTCTTCTTTTCTTCCTACACAGATTCTGGAATCAAGCTCATCTTAGTGTTTATGAGACAAACACTTTACTAACAGCTACTTCCCAGCCCCATGGCTGTGTTTTATTTAATTTTGTTTTTATGTGTATTGGTATGAAAGTGTCAGATCCCCTGGAACTGGAGTTACAGACAGTTGTGAGCTGCCATGTGGGTGCTGGGAATTAAACCCATGTCTTGTGGAAGAGCAGCCAGTGATCTTAACCTCTGAGCCATCTCTCCAGCCACCCATGGCTGCCTTTTAGTTTGATATAATTAAAAGTATTGAGGTAGTGAGTGGGGCGTTGGTGGTGCATGCCTTTAATCCCAGCTCTTGGGAGGCAGAGGCAGGCGGATCTCTGTGAGTTCTAGGTGAGCCTGGTCTATAGAGAGAGTTCCAGGACAGGCTCCAAAGCTATACAGAGAAACCCTGTCCCTAAAAGCCCCCCTGCAAATAAAAAGTTTTGAGATAGTGTCTTGCTATGAACCCAGGCTAGCCTCCAACTCTCCATCCTTCCTCAGTCTCCAAAGGGCTGTAATTACATGTGTGTGTGTGTGTGTGTGTGTGTGTGTGTGTGTGTGTTTACACCTGGCTACTGGTTGCTTTTTAAAAAGCAGGGCCTCACCTAAGCCACAGTGGTGAAGGGAAGAAACCTGGACCCTGGACCAGCTGGAGAGAACTTGGATATTTGTCATTGTTTAGGGGGTTGGGTACAAGTTGTTATTGGTAATGGTCAAGTAAAAAAGCTAAACAAAGGAGATTAGATTCAGAATTCTTGTTTAAAAATATATATATATATATATATATATATATATATATGTTTTAGGATATAATGATAGATTATTGAATCTATTCTGAAAAGAAAAAAGGGGAATATAGAAAAAAAGATAAAAAGATAGATCATTTGAATCCACTTTTAAATAAAAAAAAGCAACTACTGGGTTTTTTTGGGGGGGGGTTGAGACAGGGTTTCTCTGTGTAGCTTTGGAGCCTATCCTGGCACTCACTCTGGAGACCAGGCTGGCCTCGAACTCACAGCGATCCACCTGCCTCTGCCTCCGGAGTGCTGGGATTAAAGGTGCGTGCCACCAACACCCAGCTGCAACTACTAGTTTTCAATATTTTTCATTGGCTTTGATTTTTTTGTACACTGATACAGAGTTGGGATTATTTTTGTTAAAATATACTGTACACACATGTCTAACTTGTTCAAGGTATTGTACCTGTGTAACTCATTTAACAATGTAATACAAATTTTTAGCCCTTGAAAGTTACTATTACCAACTATTTAGGATAATAAGGAAATGCGGGCTAGCAATTAGTCACCTATTACAATCAAACGTGTAGTCATAGTGAGTAAGTTTTCAAGATCAAACATATATTTTAGATAGACAGGCTGTCTTCAAACACTACAGAGATCTGTAGAATGTAGCATTTAAGATGTTTTAATCACATGGATTCTTTTCTTTTTTTATGACAATGAGTCATGGCTGCTCCTGGCAGCACCAATCTGCTTTGGAGAAAATGATGGGCATCGAAAAAACTCCACATGGAGTTTACTTTCTTTGTGGCAAAAGTTATCCTCGGGCAAGAAAGTGCTCTTGCCTCAACTGCTGACAGGATGTTGTCCAAAGTGGACAAGCAGGACACAAAAGAAAGGACTGCTAAAACTTACCAAGACAAGGTAGGACAGCCCTTCAGAATATCCTGCTTCACAGAAAAGTCTGTCAGATATGCTAGGCCTGTAGGCTGAAGATGGAGGCCCCACATTGCAGAGGAACCTTGGCTGACTGTCCAGGCAGCCAGCTGTTTCTGTCATTTCTCACGTTTTGGGAGTCGCTTACTTGTACTTCCTGCTTACTCAAGTAATATTTTTTTTCTGGTCTCTGATGGAGTTGAAGACTTCATAGTTACAATTTTCCTTGTTATCAGATTCAGATAAGAAATCTACTAAAGAGACATAAAGTGTATTAAGGTTGAGAGACATAAAAAGATAGTTTTGGTAATGCAAGTTAAAATAGAAAGTGAATTAGGTACAACCTTTTGGACTCACCAAGATAGGATAGACATGGAGTAATTTCTCTGAATTTGTCAATTGTTAATGGACTAGACATTGCCGATGTATTTATTGCCTGTATATATTGTATGTAGTTATTGTATTTATTGTATATAGTTTTTCTTATATTAGTTGTAACCTTTTTATTTTTAGACAAAAAAGGGGAAATGTGATGATATCTTGTTTATAGTCTAACAAATAAAGCTTGCCTGAAGATCAGAGGGCGGAGCTAGCCACTAGCTAACCATAGAGGCCTGGAGGTCTGTATAGACAGACAGGAAGTGAGATGGCTGGGCAGAGAGAGGAATATGGGTGAGAAGAGACAGGAGCTCACTCTCTTTTCAGTCTGAGGATTTCGGAGAGGAAAGAGCTCCAATGGCTGGCTGCTCTGCTTCTCTGATCTTTCAGCTTTCACTCCCCAATATCTGACTCCAGGTTTTTATTATTGAGACCTTTAGAACCTGTGTTACATATGGTGTAGCACCCAGGCCTTGTCAGTCACCCCTGTGAATCAGGCTTGGGAGTCCCCAGGAATGTGGTCAGAGCTTACCCTTCTGAACTGGCCAGAAACTGCATCTCCGTGGGCACTGTTCGCAGTCCATTTCCCCGCACAGCAGCTGGGAGGAAAGGACAGGCTCATTAGTGACTGCCGAGGGGGCTAACTGGAAGTTTAGTCAGTGCAGACAGTCAGGAACGAGATTTTACCACCAAGATGGTGTGCTGTTCACTGAAGAAAAAAAAATGAGGCAGGCCAAGAGACAGCAGGGGAGAGGGAGAGAGGGGAATAAAGGTCAGTGCTCTGCATTCCACACCCTGACCCAGCATCTATGTTTGGAGCTGGCCCCACTGCCAGGCTGACTAACTGACAACCCCTAACTCAAACTGAGGCTGACCTGAGAGGCCATTGCCAAAGGTTACCTAGGAAAGATGAGCAATGTGAGCGATGGGCTCCATTCAATCCATCCATCCATTCATCCATCCACCCATCCATCCATCCATCCATCCATCCATCCATTCATCCATTCATCCAAAACACAGCCACTGAGCACAGACTATGTACTTGGGGTACCCAGTTCACAACACAGAACAAGGTCCCTGCTGCAGTGGAGGCTATGTTCTAGAACAGAAGAAGACAAGGAAATGATGATGATGATGATTTCAGGCAGTGATGTATGTTATTGAAGAAATGAAACCAGGCTAGGAAAGAGAAAGTGACAGTCAAGTGCCACAGATGGCATGTCACTGTGAGCTGATGACATTCGGTAACGTCTGCAGGATGACAGTGGCCAGTCCTATGAAGTTCCATGGAAAAAGGCTCCAGGAAATAGGAATATCAAATGCAGAGGCCCTGTGGTAGGAGAAGCTGGCAGAGCTGAGGAAGCCTGGCTACAGGTGGGGTTTTTCATCAGCTCCCCAATAAATGACACAGTGACTTATTATTAATTATAGATGCTTGGCCTATAGCTTAGACTTGTTGCTAACTAGCTCTTACAACTTAAATTAACCCATATTTATTAATTTACATGCTGCCACGTTGTCTGTGACTTGTTACCTCATCTTCTATACATCTTGCTTCCTCTGTGGACTCCGCCCTTCTTCTTCCCAGAATTCTCAGTCTAACTCTGACACTTAACTTCTTCCTGCCTAGATACTGGCTTAGCTTTTTATTAAACCACTGAGAGCAATATATCTTCACAGTATACAAAAAGATTGTTCCAGGACATCTGGCATCCTGGGACAGCAGTGAGTCAGGAAGAGTTAAAGGGGTGTGGAAAGCCAAAGGTGACAGAAGTCCTCTGTAGGATGTAGCCCGAGAGGGAAGATTTGGAGTCATGTTTTCCGGATATCTCTAGGTTTGGATGGATTCCAGGGAGCCGGCTGTCCAGGTTCAGTAAGAGGATGGTGGCTGGGCGACACTAGTGATCACAGACACTGAGGTTGTGTAAGGTGTGTGTGTGTGTGTGTGTGTGTGTGTGTGTGTGTGTGTGTGTGTCTTCTTTACAAATCAAGACCTCACTGCTACTGGGAGCATGGGGCTGGGACTCAGGTACACGAATTTTATGAAATTGACCCAGCACACAATCTCTTAGAGCCTCTGCTGTGTCCAGCACTGAGTGATGAGACACGGAGAGGCTTGTCACACGGGTACTGCCTTCCAGCACAAGGTAAATAAACAGAATATGTAATGTGGGTGGGCGTCACAGAAAACAGCACAGGAAAGAGAATGAGACATCACCTTCAAGAATCTGACTGACAGGAAACCTAGATGGGAGGGATGTCTGTCATCTCTTAGAGACGTGCAGGAGATGAGCACAGGGCAAGCGGTGCAAATTCCAGGGGTGGTGAAGAGAAATTGCAAGGGTCCTGAGACCAGAAGGTGAGACATGTCATAGGAGGCCTGCGGGGCTGGAGGCTCTCTCTCTCTCTCTCTCTCTCTCTCTCTCTCTCTCTCTCTCTCTTTCCTTCTCTCTCTCCCTCTCTCTCTGTGTCTGTCTCTCTGTGTGTGTCTCTCTCTCTGTCTGTCTCTCTCTGTGTGTCTCTCTCTGTGTCTCTATCTCTCTCTCTCATGCACACACACACACACATGCATACCCACTTACCATTTGATTTTCTTTTTACACATAGGGATTTCTTTCTAGACATAGTCCACACGGTCAGCCCTAAGCACTGGGGGGGAAGAGTTCACACAGTCAGCCCCGTGCACTGTGGGGAAGGGTCTACACAGCCCTGTGCACTGTGGGGAAAGGTCTACACAGTCAGCCCTGTGCACTGGGAGGAAGAGTCCACACAGTCAGCCCTGTGCACTGTGGGGAAGGGTCTGGACTTCTGCTTTGGCCTCTCTCAATGTCACCACTAGCCTGGGGGACACCTTTCCTTGCTCCTTTGTCTTGATGGCACCAAAGGAGAACAAGACTCTATGGTGGCTGATGGCATCATTCCTGCCGTGCCCTGGAGTGTCCCCTCCCTGCTGAGCACAGCAAGGGTCTCAGGTGAAAGGCCAGGTCCACTCCCCCTAGCAGCTCACAGCTAGGGCAATGGGACACATGTCCACAGGCAGTGCACGAGGCCAGGGCCCAAGGCACTGAAGCAGTAAGCAAATGCCTATTAATAGCACACAGATGCTGGGGGTGGAGTGGAGAGGGTGGGAGTGGAGGTGTCACTCCCCAGGGGATGACCTGTGACCCAGTGACCCCTGGTCCTCACCTAGCTTGTCCTGTATCTTTCCCATTGCACCCCATGTATCCGGGACAGCATCAGACATTGGCAGAGCTTGCCAGTACCTGGGGCAGAAACCCCAGCCCTGGGGACTGCCGTGGGCGTGAGTCCCACCCAGGGTGTCGGCAGGGGCTCTGTAGTGAGCAGGGCCTAGGCAGTTTTGTCAAAGTACACAGGAGATTCTTTTGGGTAGTCAGGGTTGAGACCAACAGGTCTGTAGTCACAAAAGGGAAACTGAGACCTGCAGTGTCTGCCCAGACTCTGGTGGTGGGCATGTACACCCATGTGGGTCTCATGCAAAACCTGGCTACTCACTGCCCACATCAGTGTTGGGGAGCCCCATATGAGACTGTATGTGATTCCACGAGGCATAAGGGGCTTGGAGTGTGCATCTGGGGGTGGAGTGGGTGGGGTGGGTGTGCACCTGTGGGTAGGGGTAGTGTGTGCCTTTGTGGGTAGGGTAGGGTTGGGGTGCACCTGTGGGTGGGGGTGGGGGTGGGGGTTTGTATTGATGTTAGAATGTTCTATACTGGGTACTTGTTTTGATGATGACAGTGGTGATGAAAATGAAGGGGAAGTTGAAAAAACAGGAAAACCAAGGCAGGTGTTCCTTGTTTGCCATTTACTCTGCCTGTCCCATGGCATTCCTGTGACCCAAGTGGCTTTAGAGACTGAATGGAAACAGGCCTGTGGGTAAAGTCTCTAGGAAGCCTTTGCTGGGTCCTGAAGATGAGACGAGGGTCAGCCTGGAGCTTGGCGCTAGGCAAGGGCTACATAGGCAACAGACCTTGAGCGTACACTGCATGGGAGGGCTGGGACCTGCATGCTTGCCGTCACACAGCCCCCAGCAGCCATGCAGTTGGGCAGCCAGAGTCCTCTGCATTTGGAAAATGAGGCCTGGAGAAGCAGGTCAAGGTTGGGGACAAGGGGACCCAGGAGGTTAGCGGCAGAGCCAGACCAATACCGTATCTAGGACAGATGATTTACCCAGAACTGCCAACCCCCAACCCTCCCCATCTCTCTCTCTCTCTCTCTCTCTCTCTCTCTCTCTCTCTCTCTCTCTCTCTCTCTCCACTCTCATACACAGAGAGAGGAGAGAGAGAGAGAGACAGAGGGAAAAACACACACACACACACACACACACACACTCTCTCTCTCTCTCTCTCTCTCTCTCTCTCTCTCTCTCTCTCTCACACACACACACACATATCTCTCACCCCATGACCAGGGCACTCACCCAACACCTAGTAGGTATGACACAGAACTGATAAGCATTCCAATTTCCCTGTCCAACCTCTTGAACTTGCCTCAGGAAAGAGCTAGCCTGTTGAGTTAGGTAAAGGACCCTGTGGAAAGTCAAACACCCCCACATTAGGCAGTTTAATGAACACAATTCATTCAGCACAGCCCATAGCCTGGAGGTAAGTACTGTTATCTCTATGGGATGAAGAGAGAAACAGGGGTAGCTCAGATGCTAACTGGCCTGTTCATTTGCTTATTCATTACCTATGTGCATTTATTGAACACTTACTATATTCCAAATGTCACTCACAAGACAAGTAGGAATGACCTGAGACTTCCTGGGCTTGGAGACAGATGACAGGCCAAAGGCAGATGATCACGTGACCCCTCTCCCAGGATGGGAAGGAAACATGCTGAAAGGCATTGAGGGCCTTACTGCCTGCTCTGCCAACTTTTGGAATGTGTTTTTGTTGCTGATGTCTTCAAGTCCTGTGTGTGTGCATGTTCACATGTGTGGGCAGGTTTAGAGACTAGAAGTCAGTGTTGGGTGTCGTTCTCTATCGCTCTCCACCTTAGTTTTTTGAGACAGTCTCTCCTTGAACCTGGAGCTGTGGCTAGGCTGGCCATGGACTCCAGGGATCTTGCTGTCTCCACCTCCCCAGTGATGGGATTACAGGCTTTTCACCAGTATGTGTGGATCCACACCGAGTCCTCAGGCTTGCACAGCCCAACCATTCATGTTTGGTTTGTTTTGTGACAGGATCTTGCTATATAGCCCTGGCTGTCTTTGAACATGACATCTTCCTTTTTTGGTCTTCTAAATGCTGGGATTACAGGGGTGAGCCATCACAGCTGCCACGTATTAGCCCCTTCCTCTGTTACAGGTTCTTGTTTCATGCATGTCCCAGGCCATACACAAGATAAACTAATCCTGACTTTCTAGGTTAGAAAGGCCTAGGAGGCAAATAGCAAGTGGAGAGTGAAGAAGGAAGCCAATTACCTCTACCTGAATGGTTGCTATGACTACAACCATGAGTAACACGTATGGGTGGCCTCTTCCAGGCAGAGAAAAGGCAGAAGAGTTTCAAAAGCTAGCAAACTCCTTGCTGGCTGAGGGGAATTTCCTTGACTGAAGCCTGTTAGAACAGCGTCCCCTACAGGTGGAAAGTGCAATGACAAAATGTCACGGAACATTTAGACAGCAGTAGCAAAATGGAAAGAAGAGGTATCAGGGATTCCATGCAAGGAGGACCTCTTGGGGCCTTGTCCACTGACCCCTCCACCCTATACCAGTATCTTCTCCCATCTGTCCATGTGCTCAGAGCTCTCCATCTCGCCAAGTTCCTTTGGACAAAACATTTTGCCTTTGTTGAGCCTCCATCTCTTCATCTACAGAAGGCAGATCACAAACATCAAACAAGCTAATGAGAAATTGAGCCAGGTTGACATTCAGGGTCTTCAGGAAACATGTTGGCACTGTTGTTGGCCTGCCTATCGGTGACCCTCATGAACTTGGAGCCTCTGTGAAACTCCTTGTTCAAATCTGAGACTACTAGCCTCCTCCCTGCTGTCTAAAGCACAGAAACTGAGTGCAAATGGCCTCTTTCTTTACCCTGGAGTCAGCATTGCCCTGGGCCTCTGAGGCTGATCATTGACTTTCAGGCCTCTGATGCTGCAGCCTGAAGGCAGATGTCTGGCCAGAGTTCCAGGGCCTCGACCTCTCCACAGCCTGCAGAGTAGGAAGACAGGCTATGGGTTTCTTTCATAACCATCACTGTGTGTGACCTTGGGTGAGTCCCCTTTCTTTTCAAGGTCTTAGAGTTTTTGTTATAAGAGACTGAACATCCGAACATTCATGTGGCCCTCATGCAGGAGGCAAGAGAATGGGATAAAAGAAATACAGCTTCAAAGTCATCCATCCCAGCTCAAATGTCTAGTGCCACAGGCTATCCTGCCATGGCAACCCCTGGGGTCCTCTTCATCCTCTCTTTATTTCTTCCTCAAATCCCATTTGTCAAAATGGGGATGATGGGAGCCCACCCCACCCAGACACAGACCCTCAGAAGGGTCCTCCAGTACAGTAAACACTTAATGGGCATAGTTCTTCCGAAGATACATCAGGTAAAACGGGGAACAGGTTCAGCTGAGGTTGAAATGAGTGAAGGGGAGGTGCCAACTGTCTGATGCTACCCTAGGGTGACTGTGAGGCCATCCACTCAGAGCCCCACAACCTGGGAGGGAACAGTCTGAAAGCCAGTAAGCCAGCATCATGCAATGGGACAGTAGCCCTCGTTTTGTAGTATGAATCTGGCTCACCCTGGTCTTGGTATGACCTGCCACATAAAAACAGCCCCCACATTTTTAAATAGTTCAAAATATCCAGAGCTTGGGAGGTGGCTCAGTCAGCAAGATGCTTGTTGGACAGCATGAGGACCCGAGTTTCATCCCCAGGGCCAAATAAAAGCCAAGTATAGCATGTGTCTATAATCCTAGAGCAGGGGAGGTGGAGATGGGATTAGCCCTGGGGCTTGCTGGCCTGCCAGTCTATCTGGATTGGTGAGCTCCAGGTTCATTGGGAGACTCTGTCTCAACATGTGTCCCTCAAACACATATGAGCAAGTACAATACATACAGAAACACAAGATCCATAGAAAAAGAACACTGGGGGTGACAACATTATAGGAAATCTTAATTTGGCTCCCATACATGACTTTTTCTTGGCGTGTAGTCAGCCATTGGCACTCTGCCACCTTCTTCAAAGGCAGAGTTGGGAAATTGCAAGAGTGGCCCGCAAGCCTAAAATGTTTGCTGTCTGGTTATTTACGGGGAACAACTGCCAACCTCACTACCTGGCAACTCTCCTGTGTTACCTGGAAGACTTTGGTCTTGTGACAGTCCGTCTTTGCTATTTCACCAACAGTGACATTCTGAATGTGTCATTCTGCCTTTCCAAACCCCATCTGTAAAATCCTTCTGAGTACTTCCGGCTTTCAGGGCCACGAACGACAAGTAAATACCCACACATTGCCAGACATGGGATCAATGCGTGTGTGTCTGTATGCAATGCACGTGTGTGCAGGTGTACATGTGTGTGCACTATGCATGTGTATAGTATGTGCAGATGTGCATATGTGTGCAAGTGTGCACATGCATGCAGTATAAATGTGTACATGTGTACGCAGTGTATATGTATGTGCGGGTGTGCATATGCATGTGTGCGTGCAGTGTATGTGTGTTCAGGTACACACCTGTGCATGTGAACATGTATGTGCATGCAGTACACCTATATGTTCATATGAACATGGGTGCCATACATGTCTGTGAATGTGGAAGACAGAAGTAAACCTTCAGTGGTCATCCAATTTTTTTTTTTTTTTTTGAGACAGTCTCACATGAAGTGCTGACTATCCTGGAACTCCTTGTGTAGACCAGGATGATCTTGAACTCACAGAGATGAGCTTCCTTCCAAGAGTTAGGGTCAAAGGCATATGCCATGGTGCCTAGCATCTTGGGTTTTGCGGGGGGGGGGGCAGGGTCTCTCACTGGTCAGCAAGTCCCAGGGATCTACCTGTGTTCATCTCCACAGTGCTGGGATTACAAGCATGTGCCATTTCACCTGACTTTTTTTTTTCTTGAGACAGTGTTTCTCTGTGTAGCTTTGGAGCCTATCCTGGCACTCATTCTGTATACCAGACTGGCCTTAAACTCATAGAGATCCACCTGCCTCTGCCTCCTGAGTGCTGGGATTAAAGGTGTGTGCCACCAACGCCCGGCTTCACCTGACATTTTAACATGGGCTCTGAGTATGGAACTCGGGTCTTCATACTTGTAGGACAAGTCTGTTCTGGGTTTGTTAACAGATTAACTCATATCTGCAGAGAACACAGATAGCATGGTTTCATGGATAATACTATCCATGGTTTCAAGGATAATGCTTGCTGCATTTATTGGCACAACGATGGGAGTGACCAGCCACTTTTGTCAAGGTAGCTCTCATCCCAGGTGGCTCCTCCAACTCTCACCATCACAGTCACATCACTGCAACAGGAGGTAGAGAATGGAAAGGCAGAACCACAAGAGCCCCCATATTTCCACTGATGTTTCATGGACCAAACTTAGACACATGGCCAACTAAGACACAGGGAAGGTTGGAAATTCAGCCTTCCTCAGCATGGTGTGTGCGGTGCATAAGTTCTGTGATCAGGGAAGAGACAATGATGGAGATGAGCAGGCAATTTCGGCCCATGCATGGATGGACTTTAGGCCTCTCTTAAAGACATCAATAAAAAGTAAGATTTTTTGTTTGTTTGTTTTTTGAGACAGGGTTTCTCTGTGTAGCTTTGGAGCCTATCCTGGCACTCACTCTGGAGACCAGGCTGGCCTCGAACTCATAGAGATCTGCCTGCCTCTGCCTCCTGAGTGCTGGGATTAAAGGCGTGAGCCACCAACGCCGGCTAAAAAGTAAGACATTTTAAAGCAGAGATGATGTGGCAATCATTTTTTCAACGTGTGTGTGTGTGTGTGTGTGTGTGTGTGTGTGTGTGTGTGAATCACAGGGTTGCCAACGAAAAGTCCTGATGTCCTTGTGCCTCTGAAGTGACCCACGATGCTTTTCTCTGATTTTGTCATGTTGAAAAAAATAACTCCCTGTGTTTTAAGCCACTGTAAGGTAGACATGCTTTCTATTGCTACCAGAAGAATTCTTGCTGTTGTAGCCCTTTTCTGGCTACACTGCCTGGGTTCAAAGTCAGGCTCAGCAACCTTCTCACTGTGTGATCTGCAATAGTCACTTCCATCTGAGCAGCAGCCCCCATTTCACCCTTGCTCACACCCCTACCCCCTACACACACACACACACACACACACACACACACACACACACACACACACACACATACACACACACCTGAAGACACAGCAGCTGCTAAGAGCCCAGCATCAGAGGGTGGAGAGGTCAGACCCCTCAGGTCAGTGTGATAGTGTGACAGGAGTCCTTACCTGCCCCTCCTACTAGCCCCTACTCTGAGATGGAGTCTCATTACTTAGCCCTGGCTGGCCTGAAACTCACTGAGATCAGCCTGTCTCTGCCTCCTGAGTGCTGGGATTTTAGAGGTGAGTCACCCCTTCTTCCTGCATCCCCCCTCCCATCATGGAGGGACAACACCACATTGTTCTCTTTGAGGTTGGCTGGAGAATTCTGTGAGCATTTACATCTGGGAAAGAAACCACAAACATTCGTGTAACTTCATTAAATTCTTACGGAATGCCCTCAAGAAGGGCTAGCCTGGGCTGCGATCTCTCCAGCATTGCCTGAGAAGTGGCGCAGCCCCTGTTCCCACCAGTGTTGGCAGTTTCCAATCTGATGTCCCCAGCCTCATTGTTTCCGTAGGTGCTTCACTGGGTCTCGGTGTATGGGCATCTGTCCAAATGCTTGCAAACAGAGTTAACTGCAACACCTGCTTCCAAATGCATAGGCGGAGTGCTTAACCCATTGCTTAGTATATAACGAATGCCAGTCTTAAAACTCTAAGGTACGATGGTTTGGCATATCTGAATCTCAATTAACTGTCACTATTGAAACACTTAGCCCACAGTGTGTGCCCAGCATGTGTGTGTGCCCTCGGCCTTCTTCAGTGGCCTGTGGACCTTGCTCATCCCCCCAGCAGTGAGGCGGCCTTGGCAACCCTCCAGCCTCACCTGTGCTCTCATCGCCTTCCCGATGAAGGTCCTTCCCAGCTTCCCGGTGGCCAAAGAGGCTTTTGAGGATGGCATTGGCGATGGGCAGCATCATGGCGGTGGAGGCCGTGTTGCTCAACCACATGGACAGGAATGAAGTGGTCACCATCATCCCCAGAATGAGCCTGGGTGGCACAAAGGGTTGAGATTGGATCTAGAACTCAGGGTCCTAGGGGGAATATAACCTGCTTTCCTGACCCTGGGGACTCTAAGGGGCTGGTTTTACAGGAGAGAAGTTAGGGTTCAGAGAAGGCAGATGAAGAGCAAAAAGAGAGCAACTGCTAGGCTTATCTTATTTGATTTGTGGTATGTGTCATGGAGCATGCTCAGTTCTCTCCTCCTGCTTGTATGTGGGTTCTGGGATCTAACTCGGGTCACCAACTGGAGCAGCAAGTGCCTTTACCCACTGAACCATTTTGTCTGCCCTCAACTTATTTTAGATCCAAGGATAACTGGGTTTATTTTGCTTAAAGGCACCTGACCATAAAGTCAGTCTAAGCCTTGGGTTTCCCTGCCCTGCTCCCAGGTCCTGAATGGCGCTCATTCCAGAATGAAGTGACTCGGCACTAGAATCTGCTACCTTCTTGTGTTCTGCTCCCACTCCTGCCCGCACCCGCTGCTCACACAGCTGGGCACCTCGCCAGCACAAAGCCCACCTGAATGCTGCTGTTCCCAGCCTCTGATTGGTCCACCCCCCATCCAGCAGCAGAATCTAAGTGTCCTGGGCTTTTCCACCGGCAGCTAATGTAATAATACACAGTATTGAGTAGGAGGTAAGTGGAGGCTTTGCCTTAGATTAAGCCACATGGTCCGGATAGTCCATCTCATGGGCCTGGGTTGTTATTTTAAATCCCACAAGTTATGCATCGTGCAATTGACAACCTTCTAGGAAGAGTGAGAGTCAGCAGACTGCCACAGGGGTTCATGGGAAAACACTAATATGTCTCTCTCCATATATACACATGCACACACACACACACACACACACACACACACACACACACACACACATTTCTTTTTGAGACAGAGGATCTTGGCCTCAGTCCAAGGATCCTAGTCACACTCTTCTAAAATCCTGTGGACAAGACTGGGGAGCCATGAGTCCAACTCTATCTCGGGTGACTTTGTATTTCATTTTATTGCTTTTTTGAGACAAGGTCTCACTGTGTAGCTCTGGCTGTCCTGGAACCCACTATGTAGACCAGGCTGACCTCTAACTCATAGAGACCTGCCTGCTTCTACTTGAGTGCTGGGATTAAAGCTGTGCGCTACCATGGCTGCCTTTAGATAGCTTTTAAGGATATAGAGGACACTGTCAGCGAATCAACTGTACATCGCACGTACAAGGAACCGACCAAATTGTCACGGAACTAGTAAACCAAAACATTCGGGAAAGGACAGCTTCTTGGCCCAAACAGGAAGAGCTTGTTTGCCCCCCCCCCACCACCACAGACCACCCTGTGGTGTGACCTTACCTGGCAGGCTGGACTCCAACTAGCATGAGGACCTTGAGAGCGATTCTCCGGTGCAAGTTCCATTCCTCGATGGCACTGGCCATGATCAGGCCGCTGAGGAAGAGGAAGTTTGTGTCGAGGAAGTACTGGGGGCAGACCTTGCTGGAGGGTAGAATGCCCATGAAGGGGAAGAGGATGATGGGTAGGAGAGCCGTCACTGACAGGGGTAGGGCCTCCGTACACCAGTACACCGCCATGAGCAGGATGACATACAGGCAGCGGCCTTCCTGTGTGGGGGGTGGGGGATGAACACTTGGTCAGTGGCTCATGCATCAGGCCAGATGTGTTGGGACAGGAGGAGGGCACCAAGGCTCATGCTCAGGGAAGCAGAGGGCAGCAGCATCTTGCTCAACTGTAGAATGGGGACGTGTCCCTATGCACCACAGATGCTGTTAGAGATACATGAAAACACCCCCGTTGTCTCTACGGAAAACCCTGAGGAAGAGAATGCTCATGATTTACTTTTATGGAATCGCAGAAAGTTCTAGAAAGACGGTTAGGGAAGTGAAACAGAAGGAAACCAATAAAGAGTACTTAAAAGGTTCCCTAGGGGACACCTGGAGCATGATCCTGTTAGGAACCCTGAAGATGGTTGTACTGGCTAGTTTTTTGGGTTCGGTTGACACAAGCTAGAGTCATCAGAGAGGAAGGAGCCTCAGGTGAGATCCAACTGTAAGGCATTTTCTCAATTAGTGATCAATGGGGGAGGGTCCAACCTACTGTGCTTGGTGCCATCCCTGACTGGTGTTCCTGGTTTTATAAGAAGGCAGACTGAACAAGCCAAGGGAAGCAAGCCAGTAAGCAGCAACTCTCCACTGCATCAGCTCCTGCCTCCAAGTTCCAGCCAGCTTTAGCGCCTGTCCTGACTTCCTCCAGTGAAGAACTATGATCTGGAAGTTTAAGCAGAATAGACCCTTTCCTCCCCAAATTGCTCTTTGGTCATGGTGTTTGGTTACAGAAGTAGAAATTCCAACTAAGAGAGTGGTGCAACTGATGTGTCCAACCTTTTGATGTTAGGGAAAGATGCTATCTACAAAAGATGCTTTCATGCTTGAAAGTCAGTTGTGCACGAGTGTGCGTGCACACACACACAGAGGAGGAGGAAGAAGAAGAAAAAGAGGAGGAGGAGGAGGAAGAAAAAGAAGAGGAAGAGGGAGAGGGGGGAGGAAGAGAGAGAGAGAGAGAGAGAGAGAGAGAGAGAGAGAGAGAGAATCAGGAGAATCAGTGTTTTAAGTTGGAGAATCAACTTCCAGGGTGGGGTAGACTGAACATGCCCCTCCAGCCAGAGAAGCTCACCATGGAGGTGGGCAGATGCCCCTGGTGTAAGTGGGAATGGCCTGTAGTGATCACAACTGCCATCCCTATGGGACACTCAGCAGTGCCCAATGCTAGCAGACTCTTGATACGGAACGAAAAGAGCCTACACTCACTGAGCTGTCCCATGCCATTTACCCTGCTCTGTGCACCACCTGACATGAGCCTCGGGTTTGGGAAAGGTGGGTTCTGGAATGCTTGGGTGTAATGTTGGTGACCCATGGGCACCCTTGGGCCATCTTACATCTTTGCATTTGGAAAAGACACTCATAAAAGGTCCTTCACTTTTATCTTGGGTCCGATGCAAGACATTCAGACTGCTAGAGAGTCAAAGCCCCTCCAACATGCTGCTTGGGTGTGGTTCCTTGCTATCCCTGGATCCACTTCTCCATGTAGTGTGTCAGCCACATCCAGGGAGGTAAGGATGAACTGCGGGAACAGTGAGGGTGGGGGCTGAGTGTGAAAAAGGCAGATGCTAGTATCTGAACTCGCATGTCCTCTCCTTCCTCTGTTGATACCCAGTCTCTACTATGGTGATAACGAGAGGTGGCACCCTTAGAAATGGGACAGCACTCTTGTGAGAGTCCTCTGGGTCTTTCTTCATCTCTGTGAGGAGTCCAAAGCAGGACACCTCTCCAAGGCCAGCATCTCCATCTTAGACATTTTCAGGACTACTAACCAGAATTGTGGAATCCCCAGCCTTCAGGACTGTGGGCAATAAACTTGCATTGTTTATAAACTACCCAAGCTAAGGCATTTTGTTACTGAAGCTCAAATGGACTGAGACCCTCTGCCTAGTTTTACATGTTCACTGCTGTTCACAGTGATATACATTTGGCTTCTTCTGGCTTTAGATGCACACTTTGCCAAGACTTCAAGGGAAGAAGCCTTCTGGGACCAGTTCCTACTAGAAAGTTTGGTGGCCTTTCAAGCAAGACTTTGGCGACATATTGAATGCCATTGCCCAAGCTTTCTTGTGAGATCCCATCATCCTCGCCCTAAACTCTTCATCTTGGGTCACTGTCACACCTGGATTACAGATCCTGTCTCCTTTGAAGAACCATTCAAAGAGTGAAGCCTTCCAGGAGACAGCAGCAGCTTGAGAGGTATTTGGCACCGGGAAGGAGAGGGGCTGCCTTCTGCCTGTGCTGGAAGCTTCTTTTGTGTGTGACTCAAAAAGGAGTCGTGTTCTGCAGCTGGACCCAGAGCCTGTCGAAGCCAAACCTAGCTAACAAGGACTAGCATTGTTTACCCAGAATCCATCATATGTAATGTTCTCAGGCAGGCAGATGGGAACATGGGTTACTCTGTTGTGGTTTGGCTTTTGATTTTGTGGATTACCAGCCATTGAACCCGGGGTCTTGCATATCCTGGGAAACTTTCTAACTCTGAGCTGTGTCTCCAGCACTCCATTTACTTCTGTAGACTTTAAGATAGGATTTCATTAGTAGTCCATGTTGGTCTTGAACATATGTCAGAGCCCAGGCTGGCCTTGAACTTCGACTCCTGTCTCAGCTTCCCAAGTATCTGGGATTGCAGGCCTGAGTCACCATGTCTGGTAGGAAATGTGTGTTTTGTTCTTTAAAATGCATGTATGTGGATGTGTGTGTGTGTGCATGTACATATTGGGGTGTGTGTGTGTGTGTGTGTGTGTGTGTGTGTGTAGAGGCTAGAGGCTAGCCTCAGGATTCATCAGTAATGTGATCTCTCCTCAGCTGGAGCTCATCAGTTAGGCTGGAGTGGCTGACCAGTGTGCTCTGGGGCCTTCCTCTCTTGCCTCCCCAGCCCTAGGATTACAAGCAGAAGCTCCATACCCAGCTCTCTGAACTCAGGTCCTCATGGTTGCAAGGCAAGCAATTCCCCAACTGAGCCATTGGCCTCCCAGTCACAGTTCTTGAGTAGGTACATTAATGTGGTTCAAAAAGAAAAGAGTTACTCCACACTCAGAGTGTGTGGTGCATTCTATGTAGGCAGAACCACTGTAACAGGGAATTTACCAGGGGCTGATTAGGCCTCATGAAACCTCCATATCAGAAACCTCTCAGGCCATGTAAGATATTCCCAAGGAGGGTTCTGAGGCTAGAGAAGTCTCAAACTACTGCTCCTCTCAGCATCCCCAAAACTCCCATGACAGATGCATTGGAAGCTGACAAGACACAGAACCAAATTTGCATGTGTTTAATGCAGTTTCTCAAGATGCATTCATCCCCAGATTAGAGTACTCCTTTAATCTGCCCCATCTTGTACTCCATAGAAACAGTGAGGAAACCGGCCCAAATGTATGTAACCCGGGAAGATTCCAGCATTCAACAAGTGCCTTATGCTATCTCCCCAGTGAGGATTAAAATTCCACGAGAACAGGGTCCCTGTTTGTTGTGTCTCATTCTCTTCTGTAATCCAGAGCCTAGCACAGTCCCCTACATACTTTTTCTTGGTTCTTGCAGGGAAGACTGAGTAAATAAATGCATGAATGAACAGATGGACAAATGGAAGAATGGTGGATAGATGCATTGGATAGAAAGATGGATAGAAAGATGTATTGATGGATGGATGAGTGGATGGATAGGTAGGTGAATAGAGGTGTGGGTGGAGCTTCGGGATACAGAGACAGGCAGGCGAGCATCTGCCCCCCCCCCCCAGCTGCAGAAGGGCAGGTGGCTGCAGGGTCACAGCTGAAGACTCCTAGCAGCAGCACAAAGCAGGCTACTCAGTGGCCATAGTAACCCTAGGTTCTGGAGGATATTCCAGAGGAATAATTAGCTACAAGCTAAACAAGGAAATTGGGACCTTTTGGGAGCTCTCAGCTCTGTTTCAGAAGATTCACACTTGGTTAGAGTCCGAAGGTCAAGCCCTGTGCTGTCCTGAAGTCTTTGGGTATTTGTTTCCCACTGTGCGCTCAGATCCCAGACATGGCTTGTGGGGCAGTAGAGGAATCTTGTAAGTTAGATCCTCTGACTCATCAGAAGTTGGGGTGTGTGTGTGTGTGTGTGTGTGTGTGTGTGTGTGTGTGTGTGTGTTGGGGGAGCTCACATATAACACTCCCCCTAAATCTTTCAGGCCACAGTGTAGCTTCCTGGCTAGTTAACATTCAAGTTGAGACTTGTCAGGAAGAAATAAAGAGGGACAGGACAGGGGCAAGAGAAACTGAACAACCTCATGCTCACAACCTAAACAAACAACTTGAAAATATAACCCACTCAGCTCTCAGAAACAGAAGAATGAAATATTCCAACATCTCCTTAGGAAATCAAAGCAGACATTAAAAACATCCATCCTTAGCCCTCTCCTCCCTCCCATTTCTTTGCCCGTCTCAGCCATGACTCTGCTGAACTGAAATGGAATGGGCAGGTTTCATGTCTTGCACACAATTCTTTGAGACTAGACAAAGTTCACTTCCTGTTTCAGTCTGGGCTCAGTATAACCTGGTGCTGCCTTGACAAGGGCGTTGCATGAAAAGAAAGTAGACTTGAATAGCAGAGAGGCAGGGTGCACAAATTACCCGGAAATGTCGATCTGAGATGCTGAGTCCTGTTTCCTTCTCTAACCTGACTCAAGTCACCAGGCCAATGTGTCATGACAGTAGCAACAACAACCAGCAACATTTCCTGAGTATTTCCTAAGTCCTAGGTTTTTCACACACACAGACTCAATTAGTGACCCCAGAAACTTCTATAGGGCCACTATTACCTCCTCCCTCTTTTCAGATGGTATTATAAAAAGCCATCCATTTCAGTCATGCCCAGAAAGCCAAGGCCACATCTTGTCACAGTTCCTGGGCTGCTGAGTCTGGCCAGGACTCTCGATTTCCCAATTCTTCTCTCCTACAGAGACTCCATATGTACAGATTTTTCCAGAGGCAAAGACCCCAGCAGGAAGCTGGGAACACGGCAGGGCTTGGGCAGCGCATAGGTCAGGA